TGTTTTGAGTCAGCGTGCCAAGGGTGTGGGAGGTGGCATGAATCAGACATTGTCCCTGACATTTAGGCGATAAGGCTAGTGGGTGAACCACCACCAAACAAGCCATCAGGAAGCCAAGGTCATGAGTGTGGCCAGCAGGGCCTCGGGGTGGGGGTGGGGGCACAATGACAACAAGGGACTCCACAGGCCTCCCTGCCTCCCCACCCCTCTGCTGGGCTTTCCAGCTTCTGGGTGCCAAATGTCAGGAATTAGAAGAGAAAAACGTGGAAATATCAATTAACTGCTGATTTTTCTTTCTTTCTTTTTCTTTTCTTCTGGGTTTCGAGACAGGGTTTCTCTGTGGCTTGGGAGCCTGTCCTGGAACTAGCTCTGTAGACCAGGCTGGCCTCGAACTCACAGAGATCCGCCTGCTTCTGTCTCCCAAGTGCTGGAATTAAAGGCGTGCGCCACCACCGCCTGGCTTTTTTTCTCTCTTTCAAACAGCTTCTCGAGATGTAGCCCAGGCTAGCCACAAACTGATAGTCGCCCTGCTAAAAGATATTGTGTCAGACCCCTATAAATAAAAAAGAATGTCTGTGTGTGTGTGTGCGTGCGCGTGTGCATGTGCACTTGCCTGTACAAGCATCAGGTGTCTGCTTGTGTTTTTCTCCCTCTTATTTTTCTTGAGACAAAGCTCTTTTCATTGAGTCCAGAGCTCTTTGAGTCATTTAGACTGGGCTGGCCAGTGAGTCCTCGGGACCCACCTATCTCCCCCCCTACACCCCTCCCAGCACTGGGGTTCCAGGCAGGCTCAACTACAGCTGACTTTTTACAAGGGTGCTGGGGATGCCCACTCCTGTTTGGGCAGCACGCCCTTTTCCGGTCGAGCCAGCTCCCAGGCTGGAAACTCCTTTTTAATAGCTGTATATTGTTCCATTGGCCTGGCTGCTGAACTCTTTGGCCCCACCCTTCAGAAGCCTTACTCAACTGCACCACAAGTAGCTGAAGCTGAAGACATAGTAACTGGATGGGGGTGCGGGTGGATAGAAAGGCTTCCCTTGGGCGGGCAGGACTTGATGGCAAAGGCAAAATCTGGGTGGAGGAAAAACGTTTGTTTCTGTTTTGCTCACAATGTTGCCTGTAGCCTAGGCTGACCCAGAAGTTGTTACATAGCTGAGGTTATCCCTGAATTACAGCTTCTGCCTCCAACTTGCTGAGGTTACAGACCTGTAGCCTTCACACCCAACTTGGGAAAAACCTTCAGGGTGAATTCAGGAGTCCCAGACCCAGTGATAGGCTGGAAAAGGGACTTCACATCATAAACAGTCAGAATCTCAACTCTAGGATCCCAACGCTGGGGCAGTTGAGGCAAGAGTACTGTGAGTTCAAGATTAGCCTGGCCTTCATAGTGAGAGTCTATATCTCTAACCCAAACCTGAGCCCAATGTGTCGGCTGCCAGCTTCCCTGGAGTAAGTCTCCCCTTCACCGTTTGATGTGGGAAAGGTGGGCTTCCAAAGGTGGTTCAATCAGATCTCATGATCAAGGGAGTCCTCTGTGGTACTACTGACCTGCCTGCCTGGACCCCCATCGTGATGTTAGGGTAGGGATGCTCATCTCAGCGTCTGTGAGTTCCCCGGGCCCAGCAGAGCATGTCACACTTCCAGGGTGAGGTGGGGGTGTCAGCCAGATCTGAGCAGTGAAGCCTTCAGGGGCAGTCAGATCTCTGATCTTGGGATCTCTCTGTCTGGATTAAAAGAGCCAACCTCAAACCCCAGATTCCCCGAGATCTTCAATCCAGAACGAACACTTCCTTGTGCTAGCTGGAATGCAGCAGCATTCCCTCCATCCCTGGAATTCTGGGCTGGGCCTGGCACTCTACCTGCCTGACCTCGGGGTGAAGCCAGGTGAGGCTTCCAGGCTCCTGAGTGAGCTGGGATTCTCCATGAGGACCCTTACTCCTAGTGGGCCCTTGCTGGGTACCAGGTAGGCTGAAACCTACACTTCCTCTCTGCCCTCAAACCTCCAATGAGATGGGTGCTGTTAACAGGAAGACACGGAGGCATTGGGAGGGCAACTCACCTGTCTGAGAGCACCCATTGCTGGCATTCATAGCAAGACCCATTCTCTAAACTGTGAGCTGGCACCTTCTCCACCTAAGGCTTTATAAAATTTCTTTTGTTGTTGTTTTTTGAGACAGGGTTTCTCAGTGTAGCCTTGGCCGTCCTGGAACTCGCTCTGTAGACCAGGCTGGCCTCAAACTCGCAGAGATCTGCCTGCCTCTGCCTCCCAAGTGCTGGGATTAAAGGCATGTGCCACCATCACCCGGCAAGACTTTATTTATTTAGAGGCATAGCCCAGGCTGCCCTTGAATTCACCAAGTAGCCAAAGATGAGCTCACACTTCTAATCCTCCTGCCTGTCTTCCAAGGGCTGGTGTTAACAGCTGTGTGACATTGTGGGCTGGAGAAGAGGAGCGCAGGGCTCTAGGCACAGACTAGGCAAGCACTCTGCCAACTGACATTTTTTTTTTTTTTTTTTTTTTTAGGGATACAGTTTGTCTTTGTAACCCAGGCTAACCGGACTTCACGGTCCCCTGGCCTCAGCTTCCTGCGCTGGCATTGCAAGTGTGGGCTAGCATGCCTGGGCTTCACCTAAGTCTCTCTATGCCTGCTGTCTGCTGTCTGCAGCTGTCCATGCTAAACAATACAAAGAGCTGACAAGGACTGTGTGTTTGTCTTTGAGGCGATTGTGGGGTGTACCGTGAACGCTTACCATGTGCTTGGAATGTTTGGAACAGCTGGCCTCATACTGCCCATGTAAGGGTACATGATTGGGTCTCATGCTTATCTGATAGCTGCCAGGGCCTCCTCTCTCTGTCCTGGCTGGTGGCTCCCAGTGAGTCACACACCCTCCCTCTTGTCTTTTCTTCTTCGGTCCCTGGATAGGGGTTGTCTAGCAGGACTCTAGCCCCCTGTTGGTTTTAGTTTAGTTTCTTAGAACAGGAGATGACTGGTGGAGGGGGGTCATGTAGAATATTTAGAGAGTGTGGCCACTGTTCCAGAGGACCTGGTGTCAAGGGGGTGGGTGACAGAGCTGACTCCTTGGAGACCTAACTGGACCTGACAGCTCCCCCTGCCGGCCTGGAGTGGGGGCTTCCTGTTTAGCTTTGGAATATGGATTAATGATGGCTGTGTGACTGTTGTGCCATTATGTTATGGGAGTCAGGTTTCCATGAGGGTCCCTGAGGACTTGGATAACTTGTCTGGGGTCTCTGTAACTCCAGGGTTCAAGTATTCTAGGTAGAGGTGTCTTCTGCCCAGGTGTGTGTGTGGGGGGGGGGGGGGTACTGGGGAACCACACTGGGCACATGGCAAGTTTTCTTCCTCCTTAGAGAGATTGGAGTGATCGCTGCAGATGGTGGCAGGTGGTGGCAGAAATAGGGAGGATGCTGCAGCTCTGGACTCTGCCCTGGGTCACCCCTGGCATCCCTCTGAGGGTCTGGCTTCTTTGTTTTTCCCAGCAACCCACTGGGAGAGAATCCTAGGGTGCCCATACACTACCATCTGGGCTGGGTGCTGGTTGTGGGGTGGGACAGGGAGGGAATTCAGACCACTAGGCTGCTCCTGCTCCTGAGGCTGGGTAGGTGCTCCCGCGGCTGGGCATGTGCTCCTGGAGCTAGATAGGTGCTGCAGGGACTGGGAAGGTCCTCCAGGGGCTAGGCAGGTGCTCCCAGGGTTGAGCAGGTACTACAAGGACTGTGCAGATGTTCCTGGGGCTGGGCAGGTGCTCCCAGGGCTGGGGAGGTGCTCCTGGGGCTGGGAAGGTGCTCCTGGGGCCGGGCAGGTGCTCCCAGGGCTGGGCAGGTGCTCCCAGGGTTGAGCAGGTACTACAGGGACTGTGCAGATGCTCCCAGGGTTGGGTAGGCACTACAGGGACCGGGCAGATGCTCCCAGTCCTGCCAGTCTGGGCAGTGTCAGGTGACCTCATTCTGCACTCCCATGGGTGCCCGCCCCAAGACTGCCAGGCCAGCTGCACAAGGCCCTTGCCAGCCTTTCTAAACACTCTCCAGTTAGGTAAGCCGCAGACTCCAGGAGGAAGGAAACTGCCGTGTCTACCCTGGGACAAGTCTCCTGTTCAATTGAACTCATTTAAAGCTTGCAAAAGCAGAAAGCATTTTGGGAACAGAGCAAAGAGGAAAAAGAGCTTTGTTTGGGGTGGAAGGGCATCCTGAAAGCCTTGCCAGGAGATGTGGCATTTAAGTCACACCTGGAGGAACAACAGTAACAATACTGAATACCTCGTGCCTACCCCTGCTCTGTCACCCGTATAGGAGTATCTCACTTAATCCTCTCTAAACCCTGTGAATGAGACACGTGTCACCCTCACTGAACAGACGAGAAAACCAAACCAAGGTACGGAGAGGTTGAGTGACTCATCCAAGACCACACAGCTACCAAATCCACCAAATGGCAGAGTCAGAATTCAAACCCAGGAAGGAGACTTCTGGCAAGTGACCCCACCTCTTAGAACCCCAGTTTTTTGTTTTGTTTTTGCCCCCCCCCTTTTGTTGTTGTTTTTAATCCACAGATGGAGGGCATACACGGCAGAGTTGCTGAGGGCTCGGAACTGAGATAATCCCGACAAAAGGCTCAGGCCGTGCCTGGCACATGGTTAACTAGTTCGAGGATTGCAGATGGTTCTTATCGTGTCGCCCTGGCAGTGTTATCTCCGCGCCTCCCCTCCCCCTGCGGCCGCGCGGCTTCCTCCCCCGCAGTGGCAGCCGGTGACGTGAGAGCCTCCGCTGGCACTCTCCGGGTTTAATTGGAGCCCATGCAAGGGGTATGTTCGAGGCCCCTCCCTCCACTCGCATCAGACCCCCAGGGAGTGTGCGCCGCCTGCCGCCCAGCTCGGGTACTGTTCCGGGACCCCGAAGCTGGTGCTGGGTGGCAGGTGGCAGAGGTGGCAGAGGCAAAGAGAGGTGCTGGGTTGGGGCCGGGTGGGAGACACCGGGATTCTTGGAGGGCCCGATACCAGCTCAGTAGTAGCCCACCGCTCTGCCTGACTGCCCGCGACCCCTGCCCCCTACCCCAAAGCTGCCTGGGGTCCCCAGCTGGGTGCAGCGGGCTGGGGTGCCAGCAGGGGGCGCTCGAGTAGGACTCACGGCGGGCGGGGCAGTTGCGGGAGGGGCGGGATCGGGAGGGACCTCCCAAGCTGCAGACACGAGGCTCAACCTGCCCGTAGGGAGCGCAGCACACGGCTACCTGTAGCTCGGGACGTATGCCCCCTCCCGGGATCCAGCACTTCTTCTCCCTGCCAGCCTCACATCCAGCCTGGTCACACCCCGGATTCGGACCAGTGGTAGCCTAGGGACAGCGCGCCGGGCCCGGAGCTGGTGATATGTAGGGTCACCTCCTGGTCCAGCTTTGGAACCTTGGCAGACTCCTTGCTTGGAAAGTTTGGGACTGTGCGCCATGGCCAAGAGCGGCTCGTTGAGTATTCGCGTGGTGGAGGGACGGGCACTGCCCGCCAAGGATGTGTGAGTCCCGGGGTGCCCACTGGGGTGCGTGGAAGGGTTGTGGGGGCCTCTGTCTAGGACCCACTGTTGGGGATCAGCTCTCTCTGTCCTGTGAGAGGGGGGCACCCACGCTTAGCAGGTGCCGCGCCCTGCTCCCCTGGGGAAGGAAGGTGTCTTTGTTCTAGGATGTCCCTAAGTAGGTCTTCCAGAGCCGGAGAAGGGACCTCTGGACGGGTCCTCTTAGAGCCGAGAAGGGGGGCCGATGATCCCTTTCTTAGCTAGAGCAGGTGCTGGAGGTGGGGCTTCTCCGGGCGGGGCTCCCCAGAGATCACCAATAGAGCCCCAGAGACTGTGGTCCAGATGGACCCCAAGATTTTGCGTGCCTCAGAGGTGTTTAGGTTGCACTCTAACACGGAACCTCGAGTCCCCCAGTCTTTTACCTGCAAACCTATGGTGGGCTGTTTTGGGTCCCCAACTGATGGGGCTGGGGGCGCTGGGTTCCTCTGCCCCGTTCTTGGCTCTGCTTCTCCAGGGCTGAATCAGCAAGTGCTGACTCAGCAGAACGGAGTGGGTGGGGGAGCGGGTTCCCCCTCCTGCTTGGTCCAGAGCCAAAAGGGGCTCTGAAGGTGCCAGCACCTGAGACAGGTTCTGCCATCCTTGGTAGGAGGCGGGCTGAGTGACCTTGAACCTGCCTTTTGCTGGCCCTTGGTGTCCCATCTGGGTAGTGTAGAACTGGAAGGAGATCAAACTGTTGCTTGATCCCGTGTCCAGCAGAGCAGGTGGAGGACACTGGCTAGGGGGTCAGCTGTGGAGAGGTGAGCAGACAGGGGGCCCAGAGTTCTTCTTTGCTTGGGTGGAAGTCCCAACTACCCAAGCTGCAGAGTCTGCATCCCCTCCCTTTGATTTTGGGAACCTCCTTGTCCTCCAGTACTGCAGCTGTATCTAGAAGGGAGCTGTTTAGAGTAATCTTAATGCCCTAGCTCCCTCATCCGCTACCATAAATAAATACACACCTGAAGTAAATGCAGGGAGCGATGACACCAGCGTGATCAACATGTCTCCGAGCGTTAGGGATTACAGAACTGTGGGACAGGAATGGAGACCTGGCACTTGCTGGCTGGCTGAAGGGACTCTTGCCTCACTGAACTCTGGTTCACCAGCTCTCCACCAGTCTTGGGAGAGAGTTATGAGCTAGTGGCAGATATTACCACGGGGCTAGCATACAGGCTCAAGGGTTCCCTGCTTCTTCTGGAAGGGGCTTTAGGTTTTCATTTTTCATCTTACCCCCTTTCCTACAGTTTTCTGGCCAAGGTAGCTCTGGGTTGAGCCATGCCTCAGAGCAAGGCTGAGGAGGTATCACTGTGCCCCCACTGGATACCCTGCCTCAGTTTCTCTAGTGGACAGCTCCCTTTCCTGAAACAGATCTTCTCAGAATAAGCTGGGGTCCCCTTGTCTGAGAGTGGGGTGTTAGCTGGGGTGTTGTCTCATTTCTCCTTCTAAAGGCAGAAGTCCTAGATTCAGCCTGACACTCGAGATTAAGGGGGTGGCCAACTGTGCCCGTCATCACTGAGGGCTTACCATGCACATGGATCATATTTAACACTTTGTGTGTGCCAACTGGTTTTTCTGTTTTACAAATGGAGAAACTGAGGATCAGAGAGGCAGCCGTGGCCGTAAGATCACATGCATGAACACCAGCTTCCATGTATGAACCAAGCAGGGAAGTGATGGCTGAGGGTCATGAGGCCATGGGAGAGGCCAGGAGTCTGGAGAGACCAGGGCCTGGGAGAGGCCAGCCCTGCCTGCCACCCTGGCCCCTACTTGATAGGAGCCTGATAAGGCCATGTGCGTCATGGCCCAGAAGTACATGTGTTGACCCTTACTCCCTTGAGGGACCTGGAGTTAGCCAGGTTTCTTGAGAAAGGCTGTATCTCCAAGCCTGCATGCTAACCGATTACAGTCAGTCTGGGCCACGTCTACACTGGGGAAGCTGAAGAATGAGGTGGAAAAATCTTGGAGGGAAACTGAGGCATAGGGAACGATTCAGCCAGCCAGCCAAAAGCCCAGGTTGCAGCCAACATCCCTGTTCCCTGTGACTGAGTGACAGGTGACCGGGAGAAGGCAGCTGGAGGAGCAGAGGGGACATGGCTAGGAGACTCGAGCTGAATTTACGTCTATACCATCCACCCCACCCTCCTCCAGAGCCTGTGCTCCGCACATCCATTTATCCTGAACCTTTCCTGCAGGAACAGCCTCAGACCTGTGGAGAAGTAGGTACAGCCAGCAACCCAAGGAGGTTACAGTTCAGGGGCTGTAGGAAGGGAGAGGCAGACACAAACACACGGTTAAACTGATCTCTCTCTCTCTCTCTCTCTCTCTCTCTCTCTCTCTCCTATCCTCTATCTATCTATCTATCTATCTATCTATCTATCTATCTATCTATCTGAGCCATATTCTCACTTTCTGCCCAGGCTGACCTTGAACTCCTGGGTTCAGGCAAATTTTCTGCCTCAGCCTCCAGGGAGCTGGGACTGTAGGTGTGGCCCATCTCAAAGGGCTTGGAGGGTCATTTTAAACGGTGGCAGTGAGAGACAGCCTTTCCAAGAAGATGGCTTTGGGAGTGAGGCAATGGAGACCCAGGTGGGCAGCCTGGAGTTTACTGGTGGCTACTATCATAAAGGGGAGGTGACCTGGGATTTACTGGTGACTCTTATTATAAAGGGGAGGTAGGCGGGGCTGCCTTTGATTGGCCTAGGGCCCAGGGTTTTGTGAGGGGGAAATAGCACTTGTCTTTTGGGATTTGCTTTTGTTTGTTTTTTCCTGCTGGGCATGGGACCCAGGGTTTGAACACGGTCGGCAAACACTTTACCACTGAGCCCCTATTCAGCCCTATACCCATCTCTATGGGTTCAGTTTTGAGGTCCTGGACCCTGGTGTATGCCTGCAAGTCTTTCCTGCTGGGGATGGGGGTCAGGGCAGGCTGAGGAGCACAGTGTTTAGCTCAGAAGTTGACATTAGGGTCCTGTCTGTATCGGGGAGCTCAGGGTAACCCACGATCCCTCCTCCACACCTCTCTTTGACCCTCTCCTGCCCCCTCTTGTGTGGCTGGGTGAGTGTTAATGTCTGTTGGAGTCATAGTAACGAAACCAAAGTCCTAGAGCAGGATGGTCATGCAAGCTTATACTGCCTGTGGGTGGCAGGTGACTGGTCCAGGCAGCAATGATACAACCTGCTGCTGCTCCCTAAGGGCTTGCCTTTTTGTAGGAGTTGTTGTGTGATCCAGTGTAAGTCCCCTTCCCTCTCTGGGCCTCACCCTGCCTAGCATTTAGGCTCCCAACAGAGTTGCACCTTCCAACAGCTTCCTTGACCCCCTCTTCCCACAGGTCTGGGAGCAGTGACCCCTATTGCCTGGTGAAAGTCGATGACGAGGTTGTGGCCAGGTGCGTAGTCAGCACGGGGTGGGGTCAGGAGGGGTTGTCTTTCAGGCTTCAAGGAGGCTACATTAGCCCTGGCCTCTTGGGTAAAACCCTGCAGCCTGTGTCAAGTGGCCAATATCCTGTCTGGGAACCTGTGATATCTCTGGCTCCCTGGGGCTGACTCAGCCACCACCAAAGGCCTGTTGGCGGGGGGAGTGTGGGCATCTCATGCTTGGCTAGTTTGGCTGACTCCGGGCCTCTGGGTGCTGCGGGTGTCTGGGTGTATCGTATTCACACCAATGTTCAAGTGGGAATGTGTGTGTGTGTATGTGTGTATGTGTGTGTGCACATGTGCGTACCAGCCTGCTCATCTGGGGTGCCACAGAACTGGTGTGACCACGTGTGAGCGTCTATGTGGGTGTACAAGTCCACAGGACTTCCATGCATACCAGAGATGTGTGTGTGTCTCAGGTGTGAGCGCAAAGGAGGATGTGTGGATATCTGTGGGCGCTGAGTCCTGATGGGATATCAGCTGAGCTAGGCTTCTCTTCCCCCTCAGGTCAAGGAACAGCTCTCAGCCCCTGTAGACCTGAGGGGGTGGTGGGCGGGTGGCTGAAGCCTTGGTTTCTATGGAGACAAGATTCAGGATGCTCCTGGCACTAGTTCTGGTCCAGATGGACTGGGAACTGGGGGTGGGGAGCCCCTAGGAAGGCTGACCCCTCCCATGGCTCCCTCTGTGTTTGCCCTGGTAGAAGATACTAACCCCCAAGCCCCGGACTGGCTTTCTGTACGCCTCCAAGGCAGCTCTTCTCCCTTCTCTGGGCTGCACAGAACCAACAGAAGGAAGCAAGCTTTGCATGCTGGGCTTGACTGGGACTTCACTGGGCAGTGTAAAGTCTTTGTTCCTGGGAGCAGCCATGGTGGGGGCCCTGTCAAGGTGCCAGGCCCAGATGTGGGACATATGTACGTGTGCCTGTGTCCAACTTTTTTTTTTAATATTTATTTATTATGTATACAATATTCTGTCTGTGTGTATGTCTGCAGGCCAGAAGAGGGCACCAGACCTCATTACAGATGGTTGTGAGCCACCATGTGGTTGCTGGGAATTGAACTCAGGACCTTTGGAAGATCAGGCGATGCTCTTTACCACTGAGCCATCTCTCCAGCCCCCTGTGTCCAACTTTGACTTGACCCTAGCGTCCCCTGACTTTCTGGGTGCCGTGAAGCCCCGAGTGTTCTGACTGGCCCTGCTCACGCTTGCCTTTACACATGTGGTTCCAGCCATCTGGGATGCTCATCTTCCCTGGCCGGTTCTCTTTCACCTGATTAATTTGCCTGGGGAGCCCTGCACTCTTCCCAGGCATCACTGAGTTCACCCCAATCATAGATGATGTCTGCAGTTTGGGTAGCGGGTAGAGAGGGAACGCATGAACGTAGCACTAGGTATTGGTGACTGGTGGGTTCTGTGTTGCTATGTAAGCATGTCTTTGTGTCTATCTGGGATACTGTGTCTATATTTACAAACAGGTTTCTAGATGTTTTTGAGGTTGTTCGTGTGTATCTGTGTCTCTGGCTTCCTTGGCCTGTCTAGGTGTGTTTCTCTGATTGTATGTGTGTATATGTTTCCATGGGTCTCTCTGTGTGGGTTTTGGTCTACTTGTGAACCTCTTCAGTTGTGTCTTGGGGACATGCCTATGTGCATGTGTGCCTGCCTGCATGCATACACATTTAGACTCCCTGCAGCCGTACCTGCATTTGTCTGCATCTCTGGCACGTGTGCCCATTGGGTCCGGGTGTGCTTCTCTGTCTGAGCTCATGGGTCTGAGTGCAGTTGCTGTATTCCTGGGATGGGGGTGTGTGTAGCTTCTAGGAGCGTGTGCACGGCTACGTCTGTCATGTTTGTGTGTGTGTGTGCCTCTAACTTTGTTTGTGGGGATCCCCAGGTCACCCACTGTATGAGGCACTAGCCCAGCACCCCTCTTGCAGGACAGCTACCATTTGGAGGAGCTTGAGCCCCTTTTGGGGGGAGGAGTACACTGTGCACCTGCCGTTGGACTTCCATCACCTGGCCTTCTACGTGCTGGATGAGGACACTGTTGGGTGTGTGGTGGGTGTGTGGGGTGTGCATGGGGATCCCAAGTCACACGCCAATCTACACACCAAGAAGAAGTGTGCTGCCTCCAACCCCCAACACTTGTCCCCGCGGCTCTACGGGAGAGTGCTGGCCCTGGTCTGACCTTCTCCTACCACCTTCCCACAGACACGACGATACCATTGGGAAGATCTCCCTGAGCAAGGAGGCCATCACAGCTGACCCTCGAGGTGAGCAGATCCTGACTGGAGGGAGAGAAAAAGATGATCTGACCTACAGGGGCCTTGCAAGGGCTGAGGGAGTGGGGCTGAGGGAGTGGCCGAAGAGCCTGAAGGGGGAAGATTCCCCCTCCTTTTTTCATTTTTTTTTTTCAAGACAGAGTTTCTCTGTGTAGCAGCTCTGGTTGCCATGGAACTTGCTTTGTAGACCAGGCTGGCATTGAACTCACAGAGATCCACCTACCTCTGCCTCCCAAGTGCTGGGATTAAAGGCGTGTGCCACCACTGCCCGGTGGATGTGTCTTTTGTATCCTGTCTCTTTAATTTGTAGTTCAGTTCATTTATGGAGCAGCTAATTCGTTTTCTCAGACCTGGGGTCCAGCAGCTTCAGTTTCGTCTTTTTGAGACAGGCTCTCTCAATCAAGCCCTAGATAGTCTCCAAGCTGTGACTCCCGTTCCTCAGTTTTCCTCATGTAGGTGTTCCCATGCGCACTCTCATGCCTGGCTGCGGCCAGTCTCCTCATGTCCTCCCCGGCACTTTATGTTTGCCTGATGTATGCTTGCGATGAACCAGGGTCTCGCAAGCGCTCTGCCTCTAAGCTGCACCCCATCCCTGCAGTGCTTTTATTTACATGAAAAGTAAGAAGAATAGTGGGGCCTGCCCCACTGCCACACTGTGAGTGTGTGCCAAGCCCTCCTCTTAGGTGGGGACCTTTATTCCCTTACGTGTCAGTGCTGAGGGCCACAGGGTTCAGTGGTTTGCTTGTGGTCACAAAGGTTTTGTGACAGCCAGGACGTGGGATTAAGGTTGTTTGGGTCCAGGGTTTGAGCTTGCCATGTGGCACTCTGTGTGTGTGTGTGTGTGTGTGTGTGTGTGTGTGTGAGAGAGAGAGAGAGAGAGAGAGAGAGAGAGAGAGAGAGCTTGTGATCGTGGGTTTTCTCAGCCCACGGTAGCCTGTTACACTCATTTTTCCTTAGTTGCCTTTTTCCCACCTCATCGTGTATTTGTAAATTTGGATTTATTTTTATTTTATATGCACGAGCGTTTTGCATGCTTGTCTGCAAGTGCACCACATGTATGCAGTGCCTGTAGAGGCCAGAAAAGGGCACTGGATCCCTTGGAACTGGAACTGGAGTTACAGAAGGCTGTGAGTCACCCTGTGGGTGCTGGGAACCCAACCCAGAGCTTCTGGAAGAGCAGAGGACGTGAGCTGTCTCTCCAGCCCCCTTCACTGTGTACTTTGAGACAAGGTACCCCAGGCTGGCGGTAATGCCTGACAGTCCAGTCTCAGCCTCCCAGTATTGGACTGGCAGGCATTTGCTGCTGTCCCTAGCAGCCAGAGTGTTCCTTTTAGACCTTTCGGACTTCAGTGCTCCTGAGTTCTGCAATCACTGCATTCTGCTGTAATGTCCCATCGTGCTCTTCGCTGGTTCCCTGGTGAAGCATCTGGGGTGTGGGCAGTGTGTTCCCAGCTCAAGCAGTTGCAGTGAGCAGCCCTGTACTTATTCATGGTGTCACACGTTCAGGGCCCCGCCAGTCAGAGAGACTCCTGGAAGTTTATGCACTGAATCAAACCATACATTCTTGCATGTATTCTTTTTATTACATCACAGACCCCATGAGTTTCCAGAGCCAAAAGAAAGGGCGCCTGTGGGTGCTGGGCAGGGGGGACACTGTCCTCATCTTGGTGGGGTGGAGGGAGACCACATACACATCTTACCGCTGGGAATGCCAGCAAGGAGAGTGATAGCGATGAAAGTGACTTCCCAAGCTGGATTTGGTGGGGCATGCCTGTCATCACAGCATTCAGGAGGCTAGCCTGGGCTACAGAGTGAGACCTCACTTCCTCCTCCTCCTCCTCCTCCTCCTCCTCCTCCTCCTCCTCCTCCTCCTCAGTGCTGGGATCAAACCAGTGGCTCCATCACTGAGTGCAAACTGCATGTTTGCTAGTTACTGCATTAGAGCTGCAGGGGCTGCAGAGATGGTTCAGCAATGACGAGCGAGCCCTGTTCTAGAGGTGAGAGGTCAGTGCTCAGCACCCACGTGTGGCTCAGAAAGGTCTGTAATTCCAGTGTCAGAGATTCTGATCCTGGGCTTTCTTCTGGCGGCAGAAGGGAGCCACCGACGGGTGTTTGTTTGTTTGTGCGTTTGGGACAGGGTCTCATAGTGTAGCCCTGGTTGGAATTCAGGACTTTTCTTTTCCTGTGACTCTGATAGAGGTGACTTAAGGGAGGGAGTTCAGAGTTCATTGTGGCAGGGAAATCGCGGCATCAGGAGCTGAGGGAGCTGGTTACATCCAATCAGGAAGCAGAGAGCAATGACATCTGGGGCTCCCCTCTATTTCATCTTGTAGGGGCCAGGATTCCAGCCTAGGGAATGGTTCTGCCCACATTACGATGGTGTACCAGTTAAGTAATCAAGAAAATCCCCAGCCGGGCGGTGGTGGCGCACGCCTTTAATCCCAGCACTCGGGAGGCAGAGGCAGGCGGATCTCTGTGAGTTCGAGACCAGCCTGGTCTACAAGAGCTAGTGCCAGGACAGGCTCCAAAGCCACAGAGAAACCCTGTCTCAAAAAAAAAAAAACCAAAAAAAAAAAAAAATCCCCCACGGGTGTCCTCAGGGGCTAACCTTGATCCAGCCAATCCTTCCCAGGTGTGCCTGGAGGGCTATCTTCCAGGTGATTTTGGAGTCTGTCAAATTTGTAACACTAGCCACAGTTACAAGTGCTTTGAAAAGTCAGATGTTTGAAGACATAAAAGGGCAAGAGGAGGTTAAAGTGTAGAGCCAGGCATGGTGGCCTTGGTGCTGGCCGCTGGTTGCACTCAGGAGGTGGAGGTGGGAGGAACAGGAGTTCTGGTCTAGCCTGGGATACATAATGAGACCCTGTATGGAAACAAAGGGGAAGGAATGATGTTTGCCAAGAGAGATTGGGCTGCGTTGGGTCCACAAGTCAATAAGCAATACATTCAAAATGTGATGGAAGGTGTGTGTGTGTGTGTGTTTGTGTGTGTGTTTCAGTTTCCTCCTCTGACATAGGGCTGATCACAGACCGAACCTGAGGTCCCGCATGAGAAACCGCCGCTTCGTGCATGGTTGTTATCAGTGGCAGTTCTGAGCTGACACAAAGCCTGCTTCCTAAACACCGTGTGTGCTCTTCAGGGATTGACAGCTGGATCAACCTGAGCCGAGTGGATCCAGATGCCGAGGTACAGGGCGAGGTCTACCTGGCTGTGCAGCTGCTGGAGGATGCTCGGGGTCGATGCCTCCGCTGCCACGTGAGACAGGCCAGGTATTCTTGCTCTGGGGGAGGTGTGGGAGGCTCTGAAAATGAGCAAGGAGGCTACGGATGTGGCTTGCCTGGTGCGCACAGGTCCTGGATTCTATCTGCAGCACCACATAAACTGTGTGTGGTGGTTCACATGTCTAATCCCAGCACTCGGGTTGGGAGCAGGTGGATTTCTGTGAGTTCAACAGTCTCTCTATGTAGACCAGGCTGGCTTTGAACTCACAGAGATCCTCCTGCATCTGCCTCTCAAATGCTGGAATTAAATGCTTTGGCCACTACAGTTGTCAAAAACAAGATCTTAACCCAGAGGTAGATGAGTATGTGTGGGTAGATGATTGTGTATGGAGGTAGATGAGTGTGTGGAGGTAGATGAGTGTGTGGAGGTAGATGAGTGTGTGGAGGTAGATGAGTGTGTGTGGGTAGATGAGTGTGTGTGTGGGTAGATGAGTGTGTATGGAGGTAGATGAGTGTGTGTGGAGGTAGATGAGTGTGTGTGGAGGGAGATGAGTGTGTGTGGAGGTAGATGAGTGTGTATGGAGGTAGATGAGTGTGTGGGTAGATGAGTGTGTATGGAGGTAGATGAGTGTGTGTGGAGGTAGATGAGTGTGTGTGGAGGTAGATGAGTTTGTATGGAGGTAGATGAGTGTGTATGGAGGTAGATGAGTGTGTGGGTAGATGAGTGTGTATGGAGGTAGATGAGTGTGTGTGGAGGTAGATGAGTGTGTATGGAGGTAGATGAGTGTGTATGGAGGCAGATGAGTGTGTATGGAGGTAGATGAGTGTGTGGGTAGATGAGTGTGTATGGAGGTAGATGAGTGTGTGTGGGTAGATGAGTGTGTATGGAGGTAGATGAGTGTGTATGGAGCTAAATCACTTGCCACTAAAGCCTGATGACCTGAGTTTGATCCCTGGAACCCATAGCGGAATGAGAAAACCAACTCTTGAAAATTGTCTGTGACCCCCCGCATATGTACATAAACACGTAATCACACACACACTAATGCATACGATTAAACAAACAGACACATACATTGTCATAGACACACACAGTCACAGACAGACATACATATACACATAGTCAGACATGCAGCCACAGCCACACACAGAGACAGAGAGATACACACACACATCATACATACAAAGACACCTTTACTTCTTGGGCAAAGTCTTAATCATTGGCTCCCTGAAGGCAGGTGGCCTCAAGCGAGATGGATCTAGGAGGATGACTTCAGGCAGTGTGTCCAAGGGATGGGGGACAAAATAAACCTCGTGGCCTGAGACTGGTGACCTACCAACTTTGCTTGTACGACTGACCAAGAACCTCACTTTTACAGAAGATCCCAGGGTCAATTCTTATTGGCTCCACCTGGGGTCACACTGGGGTCTTATGGGATGGGGGGGGGGGTGATGGAGGAGAGCCTGAAGGAAGTCAACAGACACAGAATCCGTAAAACCCAGAGGCAGCCTCGTCTGTCTTCCCTCTGCCTCCCTCCCTCTGTCTCCAGCCGCCTTCAGCTCCTCAGTCCCCCCTCACATCCTTCAGCTTCTCTATCCTCTTCTTCCTCTCGACATCCTGCCTTCCTGTCCCCCGCCTCCCCCCCCCCCCCCCCGGGGAACCTTCACTCTTAGGTTCTGCCCGCACATATTAAGGACAATCTGTGTTTCTAGCTTGCTGTGTGACCATAAGACCCTTTCTTGCCCTCTCTGAACTTCTCCTGACAGCTCTGGATTCAGGTCTCAGCCTTGGCCCCAGCTGGATATGGGAGAAGCATGGATGAGGAATGGCTCAAGAAGGAAGGGAACCAGAAAACAGATTGTGTTTCGGGGTCTGAGCTCAGCTTTTCTGCCCATGACCCCCTCCCCAGACACTAGGCTGTACAGGATCCTTGCATGCAGGAGAGGGACCGATTGCTGTCGCTTAGCAACTGTGTTGGTTCCTAGGAAACCAAAGACTTTGGATGCCCAGCAAGGCTGGGAAGCAAGCGGGAGGAAGAAACAGCCCCTGGTGGTGGTGGGGTGTTCCTGGATTTGGGGGCCTGCTAGAAGGGGGATGGGGAAGCTGACTCAGGTGAGGCTTCGAGTTGTCATGGTAACCACAGGCAGGATGTCTGTATCTCCTGCTTTTTCTTTGTTCCCAAGCAAGGTGTGGGCATGTGTGTTTGTTGAATGAATAAGTGAGCTGAGCCAAGTGCTACACTAAGTAACTTTTCTGTGTCATCTCGTTGGACCGTTGGCCCTGTGAACTTGGTCTGTTTTTGTCCTTCTTTTCTGGACTAAGCCTCAGGAAGGGGAGGGGACTTTTTCTAATGCCACCCAGCAGGGTCAGGTTTTGAATTCATGCCTGTAGCTTCCCATGTAGGGCATCTGGGGAGATTGAGGCATTCTTTCATTTCCATTGTCCTTGCTAAGTGTTGTGATACAGTCTGATCTTTCTGTGCCTCAGTTTCCCTTCATGGAAATCAGGGGTAATCGGGAAATCTTCTGCTTCCCATGAGTTTTGTGTTTAGAAACTGCCGGGTTTGCATGGGTGCAGTGATGGACCTGACCTGGGCCCCTGTGATGGACAGGCTTGTTGCCCTGGTAACAGAACCTTGCCATTAGAATGATCTAGTATGAACTCTCTTTCCTAGGCCTGCCTCGGGTCTGGGTCCTTGAGGGCCTGTAACCACACACTCCTCTTCCTCTGTCCCCAGGGACCTGGCCCCCCGGGACATCTCGGGCACGTCAGACCCATTCGCGCGTGTGTTTTGGGGCAGCCATAGTCTGGAAACCTCGGTGAGCAGACAGTCAGGCAGCAGTGTGGCACCCCTCAGTGGGAGGCGTCAGTCACCTCTGCTGCTCACAGCCCTCTGCGCCCTCAGACAATCAAGAAGACCCGCTTCCCACACTGGGATGAGGTGCTGGAGCTGCGGGAGTCACGGGGGACCGCTTCCCCACTGCGAGTGGAGCTCTGGGATTGGGACATGGTGGGCAAGAACGACTTCCTGGGCATGGTGAGTGTCCCCCCCCCCCCAATAAATGCTCTCTGTGGCTCCCATTGCGTCCCGTGAGCAGACAGGTAAGATTGGGGTCTGGGGGTGGGCGTTCAAGCTGTCGCGAGGACCATTGGCCGGCCTGCATAGTGGAGTCTCTATCTTCATGAGGCAGGCAAGAAAACAGGCCGTGAAGGAGGCAAGGACCTCTCTGAGGTCACGGGGTAGGCCCACAGCTCCTGGGTATGCTGGTGCCTGTCATCTGCATTGACCTAACCGTCACCACCCTGTGCGGCTGACAGTCATGTTCCTCCAATGCACATCACGTCTGGAACAGTGGAAGTGGGTTTTCTGAAGCCCTGTGGCTTTTAGCTGTTCTCTGGGAACACGGCCCCGGGCTCGTCTGAGGCTGTGGCTACGGCAGTGGCACTGTATTCACCGTGTGACCCAGGGCGAGCCGTCTCTCCAAGCCTTAGCTTTTTCCCCTCTCTCTTTTACTTTTTGTTCTTTCAATACAGGGTTTCTCTGTGTAGCTCTGGCTGTCCTGGAACTCACTCTGTAGACCAGGCTGGCCTTGAACACCCAGAGCTCTGCTTGCCCCTGCCTCCCCAGTGCTAGGATTAAAGGCGTGCGCCACTGCCTCCTGGCGCCTTAACTTTTCTCAATTGTAAATTAAGTGTCCTCTAGAGGCCCTAAGTGCCCTGGCTTGAGAGAGAGGAAGAACTGGACCCTGGCTGACCACATGGCATCTGTGGATAGCAGGCCAAACTCTCCCTCCAGGGCTGGGTGGGCCCTGCATCAGGCAGGACAGGGCCCCCAGCTGAGGTCTCTGTGTCCCCCACAGGTGGAGTTCACCCCACAGACCCTTCAACAGAAGCCACCCAACGGCTGGTTCCGCCTCCTGCCCTTTCCTAGAGCTGAGGATTCTGGGTAAATGTGGGTGCCTAGGGAGGGGCACCACCTCAGCAGGTTCCCTGGGTGCTGGCACCAGCCCACCTGTCCCTCTAGCCCTGGTCACATGTCCCTGGGATGTTTTTGCCGGCCCACACAGCACCCCTTGGCCCAGTCAGCTGACCATAGACAGGCTCCCATAACCAGCGTAAGAATGTTGGGCTCCCTTACACCTGCCTTCCTGGCCACACTTCTTTCTTTATGATGTCAGGAACTGATGCCAGGGCCTTGGCTGTGCTAGGCAAGAGCTCTAACGCCATCCTGAGTAGCTACCGCTGTCTGTGCACACGTGTGCTATGCACACGGACCACAGAGTGCCCTGGTTGTTCCCGTCCACACTGTTCACTTAACTGACTGCATCTTACTGCCCTGCCTACACTTGCTGTTCTGCCTGTCCTGTGTGAGCGTTTGTGCACCCGGTCATGGCCTCGACTGTGGCTTTTCCACACACAGTCTGGGGCCTCTTTCTCCCTATCCACACCAGAAGAGGGCACCAGATCTCATCATAGACCGTTGTGAGCCACCATGTGATTGCTGGGAACTGAACTCAGGACCTCTGGAAGAGCAGCCAGTGCTCTTAACCTCTGAGCCATCTCTCCAGCCCCCTTTCTATCCACTTTTGTCCCCGCTGCCCTCCTCTGCCCTTACCCTCTGTCCCTTGCCCCTCCCATGCTCACGTCTCCTGCTTTGGGCTAGCCTGCTTTGGGCTAGCCTGCATTCACGTCTCCTTCTCTATGGTCTGCTCCGTATAGGGGAAGCCTGGGCGCCCTGCGGTTGAAGGTGCGCCTCACTGAGGACCGCGTCCTGCCTTCCCAGTGCTACCAGCCTCTCATGGATCTGCTTCTGGAGTCGGTACAGGGGCCGGCCGAGGTGGGTGTGGTGGCAGGTGCCGCCACCTGGGTTGCTGGGTCAAGGGTGTAGCTCCCCGCCTGCGGAACCAGGGCCAGCTCATCTGCTTTGGGGCCTCAGGTAACCTGTTGGTTCTCCTGTCCCTGCTCAGGAGGACACCACCAGCCCCCTGGCTGTGCTCGAGGAACTGGCTTCTGGGGACTGTCGTCAAGACCTTGCCACCAAGCTGGTGAAGCTCTTCCTGGGCCGGGGCCTGGCCGGGTCCTTTCTAGACTACCTCACAAGACGTGAGGTGGCTCGGACTAGTGAGTTTCCCACACACACAAACGCTCTTCCCCCAAGGATGGGTCTGCAGAGAATCTCCAGGGAGAAGTGAGATCCTTTAGAGGATGTTTATATGTTGGGGTATCTATGCCGTGAACTCGGGAGGGTGCTGTGTGGCCTCAGGCAGTTTGACAAACCACTCTGGGCCTCTGGGCCATGAATAGAGTTTTGGGTTCTCCCTGATTCTTGAGGCTGAAAGAATCGTATCTCCACTTTGAGTGAGTGGGGTGAACTGGGTCCAGCCCCCACCCCACACCAGCAAACGCACCCCCTGTCCTCCCAGATGACCCCAACACCCTCTTCCGTTCTAACTCCTTGGCATCCAAGTCAATGGAACAGTTCATGAAGGTGAGTGGGAGCTGGCATGTCTGGCTGCGTGTGGCTTCCTCCCCCTGCTCACTCGGTCCCCAGAGCCTGCTGGCCTCAAGTGGCCCTAGATGGCTGAGCTGGGTGCTGGTGGCAGGTGTCTGGCTTCAGCCCTGGGCGGCACCCTTGGACACGACTGGCCTGGCTCTGAAATCTCCCTGCACACCCCCTGCCCCAGCCCAGGGCACTTTCTGCCACCCTTAGCCACTTCGTGTGGCCCCTGCCCCCAGCTCGTGGGCATGCGCTACCTGCACGAGGTCCTGAGGCCGGTGATCAGCCGTGTCTTCGAGGAGAAGAAATATATGGAGTTGGACCCTTGCAAGATGGACCTGAACCGCTCCCGGTGAGTGAAGTGGGGGTGCTTCAGGCCTCCAGATGTCCCTTATCATTTGCAGTTGCCTGGGGCTGCTCTGTGCTGGCTGCCGCCTGCCTAGGGACACGTGTGTGTGCTGTGGCAGCCCAGGCTGCTCTGGGGGAGCCCAAATGCTGCCTCTGCCTCTACCACACCCTGTGACTTGGGAGTATTGGGGGCACTTAAGGGTTTTGGAAGTGACGTACAGAACAGGGGAATGCTGGGAGATGATGGAGACCCACATGGGGTCTTATGCAGAATGGATCCTGGGAACTTTCTGTGAGATTGGAGATATGACTAAAAGCCACTCCACACCTCCATGGACTCCTCTTCCTTTCTTTCCAGAATCTTCTCTGCCAAAGTCAGGGGGCTGGCTTCCATGAAACCCTTAGAGCTAGATGCAGGCCATCTGTTAGGACCCACACCTCTTGACCACCTCAGACGCAGGCTTCAGCACCCTCTTTACTGAACCTCAGTGAGGGGAGGTTCCTGCCCAAGGTCACACAACTGGGAAACTGTAAAGTGAGAATTTGAACCCAGGCCCCAAACCTGACAGGGTTGTCTGTGAAACTCCCAGGGTATAGCTGGCGACCACTGGAGACTCAGTGGCACTTAAGGGTGATGGGACATTGGGAACCTGGGTGGGGTAGAATTGCAGATAGTGGAGTTGGTCCTGACTTCTAATCTCAGGTCTGCCACCTGCTTGCAAAGTCATATTGATGGGCCTCAGTTTCCATGCCTGTTAAATGGGAGGCGTAGACACTCAACTTGTGAATTACCGTTAGGACCACGTGGGGCCATGATTGGATACAGGGACTGAGAACTTCTGGCTTGAGGGCTCCAGGCGGAAGGGATTGCATGTGCCAAGGCATCGGACATGGCCAAGCTGAAGACACCCAGAGCTACAGCATGTAGTTATGAAGTGAGAGGGGGTGATGACCGTTCTGAGGAGGTGACACTTAGCTTCATGCCCCATGTTTCAGGACACAGGGACAGGTGCTATGAAGGCTCTGAGCTGGGACTCTGCCCCAGAGTTCACTCCAGCAGGGAGCCCAGTGTGAGGGGAGGCACCATGGGGGCTGGGGGGTTCTGAGGCAGCAGGTGTGGCGCTCTGACTGAAGGTTCTGCTTGCTCCCTCCAGGAGGATCTCCTTCAAGGGCACACCCACGGAGGAGCAGGTGCGGGAGACCAGCCTGGGGCTGCTGACCGGATATCTGGGGTCTATCATGGATGCCATTGTGAGCTCTACAGGGCGCTGCCCGCTAGCCCTGCGCCTGGCATTTAAGAAGCTGCAGTGGCGTGTGGAGGAACGCTTCCCCGGGGTGGAGCACCAGGTGGGCTGGGTTCCGCAGGGGCGATGCGGATGTTGGGGTGGTCTGGGGCACTGTGTCCGTCGATCACATGTAGAGTCAGGACAAAGGTGACGCCAAGATCTGGGCTGCTCAGATTTAAGTGTGTGTGTCCTGGCAGAGGACAGTATTCCTGGCAGGACCTAGAACCCAGGGGACCAATGATGATGATGGATGAAGGACATGGTGATGATGGTGGTGATGATGGTGATGATGATGGTGGTGATGATGGTGATGATGTTGGTGATGATGGTTGTGATCATGGTGGTGATGGTGGTGATGATAGTGATGATGGTGGTGATGGTGGTGATGGTGGTGGTGGTGATGATGGTGGTGATGGTGGTGATGGTGATGGTGGTGATGATGGTGATGATGGTGGTGATGGTGGTGGTGGTGGTGATGGTGGTGGTGGTGATGATGGTGGTGGTGATGATCATGGTGATGGTGATGGTGGTGATGATGGTTGTGATGATGGTGGTGATGGTGGTGGTGGTGATGGTGATGGTGGTGGTGATGATGGTGGTGGTGATGGTGATGATGTTGGTGATGATGTTGGTGATGATGGTTGTGATCATGGTGATGGTGATGGTGGTGATGATGATGGTGATGATGGTTGTGATGATGGTGGTGATGGTGGTGGTAGTGATGGTGGTGGTGGTGGTGATGGTGGTGGTGGTGATGATGGTGGTGGTGGTGGTGATGGTGGTGGTGGTAGTGATGGTGGTGGTGGTGGTGATGGTGGTGATGGTGATGATGGTGGTGGTGGTGGTGATGGTGATGATGATGGTGGTGATGATGTCAATAATGGTGATAATGGTGGTGATGGTAACAGTGATGATGGTACTAATGAGAACAGTCGGGAAGGAGAAGGGCGGGGCCAGGATGAGGCCACATGGGCTCTGTAGGTGCCAGGCTTTCCCAGCCTGAATACAACTGGTGGAAGCTGGGAGCTGTGGCTCTGGGACAGGCGAGGGACATAAACAGACAGATATAGAACTGTAAGGAGTGGTGGAGACTGTGGCTAAATGTAGCCTCACAGCTTTGTCTACAGGGACCACTGAGGCCAGTGTTCTGCATAGGAATGGGGCCCGGTCCCCTGCTCCTGCAGAGCCTTTTCTCACTGCTATGCTAAAACACAGACTCTCGCACACTGGGCAGGTCCTTTCTGCCACTGAGCCACGGCCTAGTGCTCTTTTCACCCTTTCGAGATAGGGCCTTGCTAAGTTTCCAAGGTAGGCCTTGAACTTGCAGTTCTCCAGACTCAGCTTCTGGGATATGTGTGATGACGGACAGGCCTCTGCCTCAGGCTTGGCTGAATTGAGCTGGGCTAAGTCGAACATCTTCTTCCCTCCCTCCCTCCCTCCCTCCCTCCCTCTTTCCTTCCTCCCTCCCCCCACTAACTTCCTTTCTCTCTCTCTTACCAATTTCCAGGATTCTATGTAAAGTCTCCCAGTTTTGAAATATTAGGGTTAATTCACGCAGACACACAAGCAAAAATCGCCTGAAATCGGTCACCTTGTGTTGAGGTTGTGCTGGACCATAGGCTGCCAGTCTGAGATCTTTGGTTTTGTTTTTTGTTTGTTTGTTTGTTTGTTTTTCCTGTTTTGTTTTGGGTTTTTTTGAAACAGTATTTCTTTGTATAACAGCCCTGGCTGTCCTGGAACTCGCTCTGTAGACCAGCTGTCCTTGAACTCACAGAGATCTGCCTGTCTCTGCCTCCCAATTAAAGGCTGAGATTAAAGGCATGCACCACCACCACCACCAGGCTGAGATCCTGTTTTAATAATGTTCAGTGCACAATCTGAGGTGGCTGTCGTGGGGAACTTGGTGACACAGGCCTGTACCCAGCTTCTCTGGAGGCTGCAACAGAAGGATTATAAACCCAGGACCACCCCGGGCAGAGGGTGTCCTGTGAGTCCTTAGCTTTCCAGATGTTTGTTCACCACTTGATAAGGTGCAGAGATCCAGACTCAGGTCCTTCGATAGAGCACCAAGCACACACTGTTTACCACTGAGGAAACTTTTCTGCCCAGTCAGACTAACTTTTCCCCAGTGCTAAAGACTAGACCCCTAGGCAGAAAGATCTAGAATCTGGTATACGCTGGAGTTAAGAGCTTTGATTAGCACCACTTTCTGCTTTTTGTTTATGGATTGGGAAACTGAGGCCCAGCGAGCTGGAGATTCCTTCCCCAGATTCCCCCTCCTCCCAACTAGAGGTGGCGTCATTGCACCCCACTTAGCCTGGCTCTCGCCTGGGCTGCCTCAGAGGCGTTAAGTAGGACGCGGCAGAGGTAAGGGGAGGGAAAGAGACCAAGAGGACTGCTCCTTGTTCAGCTCAGCCCAGGGAGCCAACATCAGTGCTACCCACATGTGCCCAGTGGGCAAGGACCACAGGCTTTCTCAGGTCATGAAGGTAGGGGGCTCTGAGATGCCTCTGAGCATGTGTGCATGCTTGTGTGTGTGAGAGTGTGTGTGTGAGTGTGCGTGTGAGTGCGTGTATGTGAGTGAGTGTGAGTGTGTGCATGTGTGAGAGAGTGTGTGAGACTGTGTAAGCGTGCACGTGTGTGCAAGTGTGCGTGTGTGTGAGTGTGCGTGTGTGCATGCGCGTGCATGATGTAGCCTGGCTGGCCTCTTCTAACTTATTATGTACCCAAGGGTGACTGTTCTAGGTTGCTTTCTCCTGCTATGATGAGCACCAAGACAAATTTGGGGAGAAAAGAGCTTATGGGCTATCCGGGAGGGAAGTCAAGGCAGCAGGAGACTATGGAGGAACCCTGCTCTCTATTTTGCTCTCCAGGCTTGTTCAGTTTGCTTTCTCAGACTACCTGGGACCTCTGCTCGGGAATCGGGCCTCTCACAGTAGGCTGGACCCTCCCACATCAATCATCTGCCAAGAAAATGCCCCCACAACTTTGCCTACAGGCAGTCTGGCTTGAGCTGGCTTTTTTCACTTGAGGGCCCTCTTCCCAGGCGACTGTAGCTTGTGTCAAGTTCACGAAAAAGTAACTAGCCCAGTGACTTTGAACTTGTGACCCCCGTCCCAGTTCCTGTGTTCACGGGATGACAGGCCTGGCTCAGGTGTCCCTCGATGAGCTAATGCTGGGGGATAAAATGACCTGGGGACCTGCCTGGGAGGAAGTGGTGATTTGGGGACAGTTCAGGACAGTTGATCAGGGCCCCTCTTACCGAAGCCTTGGGGCCCACTGGCAAGGCTGACATGCCCAGAAGGCTAGCTCACTCCAGCGTAGCTACTGTCACAGGTGTGACTGACACCCCAAAATAAACATAGACATACAGGCTCAGGCTTGACACAGCAGTGGATCAGTGAGCTGTGCCCGCTGTGGAAAGGGACTTGGTGGGACTGCCACAGCATGGACAGGTGGGCTCTGCAGCCTGACTACCCGGGCTTCTCGCTGAGCCTCAGTTTCTTCACTTGGAAAGCAGAGGTTAAGTACACTCTTGACCCCTGGGTAGCCGAGACGGAACGGCAGGAGTGGTAAGCTATACTACCCCTGTTGTTGGTTGCTGGGTAATCTCAGGCAAATGACCAACCTGTGTCTCAGTTGCTGCCTCTCTAAAACTGGCTGTGACCCATCTGAGAGTGAGTGGCAAGGAGAGGCTGTGGGAGGCGAATTCAGCCTGTTCTTGCAACCAGACAGGTCACAGATCTGGGTTGGAATCCTGACTTCTGTGCTGTGTGACCCGGAGTAAGCCACTTGGACTCTCTGAGGTTGCAATGACTGTGTTCCGAGCCCAGGAGTCTGCTAAAACCAGTTTTGCCAAATCAGTCTGTCATCCCATTTTCCAGCTAGAGAAACCGAGGCAGAGAGGAACACCCTCCTTGGCAGGCTAGGATAAGCCTTCTGACCCAACTCCTTCTCCCTCCTCTGGGCACCTAGTGTTTGCTGCCTCAGTTTCCCCAACTGTTGTCTGTGATTCTCTGGTAGGATGTGAAGTATCTGGCAATTAGCGGTTTCCTCTTTCTGCGTTTCTTTGCGCCCGCCATCCTCACACCGAAGCTGTTTGACCTCAGAGACCAGCATGCAGATCCCCAGACCAGCCGCTCCTTGCTGCTTCTCGCCAAGGTGTGTGTGGGGGGGGAGCTCCTCCTGAGTCCGCTCAGCCGGAGAGATGCATGATGGGAAAGGTCAGGAAGGCCGCCAGAGAGAAGCCCCAAAGAAAGCCAGTTTCCTTGTGTGGGTGTCTCTGTTTTCTATGACATGGACTTGCTGGCCACTGAGACTTAGAAGTTGCCCCATTGCCCAGGCTGGCCCAGGACTCAAGGCAATCTTCCTGCCCCAGCCTCTCAAGTGCTGAGATCATAAATGTACCACCTTGGGAATTGAACATGGGGCCTCATGCATGGGAGGCGACCACTCCACTGCTGAGCTACAGCCCCAGCCCAGTTACCCTTTTCTTTTTCGTTCTTTTTTTTTTTTTTTTTTTGAGATCACGAAAACTCACTCCTTCCAAAAGAAATGGGAGAAGTGGGCTAGCAATCCTTTATACCTTAGTATGAATTAAGCTATTCTTGACAAAGTAGCCACAACTATGGCTTTCATGGGTCTTCATTTGATAGAACTGGGTAGTGCTGGGTGTTGGGTTAACTGGGGGTGCGGACTCCAAAAGGGAGAGGGAGGACTAGAAAGTGCCCGATGTGTACAGATATGAGAAGCGGAGTTCGGGCACAAAGGGCACTGGCCTCAGAGTGACCTTGGCCTCCTTTCTGCTTTGCTCCAGGCTGTGCAGAGCATTGGAAACCTGGGCCAGCAGCTTGGCCAGGGCAAGGAGCTGTGGCTGGCCCCCCTCCACCCCTTCCTGCTGCAGAGCATCTCACGCGTGAGGGACTTCCTGGACCAGCTGGTGGATGTGGATGGGACTGAGGGTGAGCCCTGCGGTCCTGCCGCTCCTGACCTGTGATTCCCCCCCCTGCCCTGGGGGCGGGCGCGTATGCCATTAGTCCCCAGTTCCCCAGGACCAAGATCAAGAACCTGCAGGTCAACTAATTAGTCAGTTAACATTCATGTCAGGCTCAGTTAGGTCCTCTCTACCAATGTGGTCATGTGACAGGGTCGTGGCATGGAGTCTCTGGTATGGGTAGGTTTAATAAGTCTCCACCATTTAATAGGCACTGTCTCAAAGGCCCAGGGCATTGGCTTCCGGAAGGAGAGCTTGCCTTGCCTGCATGAGGTCCTAGCTTCAATACCAGCACTGGAAAAAAAAAAATAGAAAGAAAGCTCGCCTTCTAGATGCTTTGGACGATGTGATTAATGAGGGGGCAATGACTCAGTGGGTGAAGAGCTTGCTGAGCAAGTTTGAGGACCTGAGTTCAAATCCCTATGCTCACCTAAAATCTGTATATGGCTGTGCCTGCCTGTAACCCCAGAATTGGTGGTTTGGAGACAGGCGGGTCCTCAGAGCTCCCTGGCCAGTCACTGAGGCCAAGAAGTGAGCTCCAGGTTCAACAAGTGGTTCTGTGTCAGAAAATAAACAGGGAGCAACAGAGAAAGATTTCTGATGTCAATCAACCTCTGGTCTCCACGTGAGCACATGCACACACACATGCACGCACCACACACACACACAACACACACACAGTGAGACAAAAGAAAATCTTGGACTTATTCATAGAATTTCATTCTAATGGGGGCCAAGCTGTAAGACAATGGCCAAATAGCCAGGGGGTTACAAAGGAGGGACGGAGGGAGGGGTGGGCAGGTGAAGTGGTTCACTACTCTAATCCCAGCACTCAGGAGGCAGAGGCAAGAGGGGCCAGCCTGGTCTACAGAGAGTTCCAGGCCAGTCTGGGCAACACCAGAATGAAGATACTGTGACTTTTTGGAGGTTGTTAAGTTAACATCTGCTCCCAGGTGGGGATGCTGCCAGGTGCCCAGAGAATGGAGTCCCTAATGACTCACCTAGCGGTTCCCCCCCTCCCCACCCCGGGCGCTATGCAGCCCTGGGTTCAGAGCGCCACCTAGCGTCAGTAAGGTGGATATGACTATAGGCTCAACGGCACACACAGACCAAAACCAGGACTTAATTAAGCATGCTTCGTTTTGCTCTTATGGGAGATTCGGGGGTCCTCAGAGACACTGACTGGGAGAAAGATGGCTTTTCTGGCTTCTCTCTGGGCACACGGAATAGCTAAAGGACATCTTGGTGCAAGATGGAGGCATTGTGGCTAGGATTTGGAAAACGAGTCTCCATGTAAGAGTGATCCAGGTGGTGAACAGCACAAGGTCCTGGGGTGGGGACAGAGAGCGACAGAGAGGCTAGTGCAGAAGAGAGAAGGAGGAGAGATCGGAGAACGTGGAGCACTGGAGAGTTGTGGGCGAGCTGGGCTCATGCTGGGAATGGAGCGGTGTCATGTGCTCTGAAAGCAGAGGACTTGGGGTTAGAGGCCACTTCCAAGAGGGAGACTTGGGTCACATAGGAATAACCAGGGGCAATGACTGTGGTGATCTTGGATGGGAGAGGGGCTGCTGAGAGAGGTCTGTAGTCCTGAGCTCTGAGAGGGCTGGGAAACGTTCCTGGGTTGGCTGGACACCCTGTGCTGGCCAGCTGCAGTCTCTCCTGCAGGTCCCTGGACTTGGAGCGGGATATGGATACCACTTTCCCATGCTTCTCAGTCCCTTGCCTCAGTGGCTGGGGTGTGTGTGTGAAGGAGTGGGGTCGGAGGTCACAGCCTTGGTCTTCCCACTCCTTAGGAGCAGACAGTGCAGCAGGGGCCAGAGGTGTCACCCCTTCCCTTTCTCTGTTTCCCAGAGGCTGGGGGGCCAGCCTGTGCCCTGGTCCAACCTTCGACTATTGTTCGGGAAGGCTTCCTGCTGAAGCGCAAGGAGGAGCCTGCAGGCCTGGCCACACGCTTTGCCTTCAAGAAGCGCTACTTCCGGCTGAGTGGGCAGGACCTCTCCTACTCCAAGACTCCAGAGTGGCAGGTGAGACTCCAGTCACAAGAAGATGCTACTAGGGTGCTTGGAGAAACTGAGACTCAGGGTGGGAGTTGGGGTAACTGCTTCCCCAATATCATAACAGCTAAGGCAACAAATTCCAAGCTCTTGGCTGGCTCCAAGCTTGGCCAGGGATAGGGACACTTGCTGTTACACACTTGAGCAGGTGCACATTTCATAGCTGGGTGTTCTGACCAGGTGTGGACACTCACGGGTGGGGGCCACACGGTATACACCAGGCATCACAGACTCGCGTACAATCCATTTCTTCTGCTGGCTGTGTGCGGGCGCACACACATCCAGGCACTCGTCCAACAACTCAGTCACTGGGCACAAGCATTCCCTGGTGCCCGAGTGTGCCAGGCTCTGTCCTAGGCAGGTGACACCACTGTCGTCCATCCTAACCAGCCCGGGGGAGACTAGGACTTGGCATGTAGGCATGGCTTGCATTTCATCGGCTGTTTGGGTTGTGAGGCTGGGTCCACGGATTGAGAAACTTTGGCAGGGTCGTTTACCTTCATGCCTCAGTTTCCTCATCTTTAAACTGGGGAGACTAACAGGCCCAGTCTCAGGGAGTGGTCATGGTCATTGAGTGAGCTGAGGGACATAAGGTTCCAAAAGCCACAGTCAAGTGCCATGTGCACAGCGAGTTTCCATAAGCAACTGCCGTGGCAAGGATGGTGGTGAGGCAGAGGGGGATGATAGTGATGATGGTGATGATGATGATGGTGGTGGTGATGGTTATGATGGTGATGGTGGTGGTGATGATGGTGGTGATGGTGGTGGTGTTGGTGTTGGTGGTGGTGTTGATAATCCTGGTTATGGTGATGGTAATGATTATTATGGTGATGATAGTGATGATGGTCACAGTGATGATGAGGGTGATGGTGTTTATGGGATGCTTGTGATGATGGTGTCAGTGATGTTAATGTTTTGCTAGAAGCAAACTTAGTCCCAGAAAAGTCAAGTCACTCAGCAGGTGACAGAGCAGGACTGTGGGGAAGACACAAGAGAGCTATGCAGAATGAGTACCTGTCATTGGTGACCCCCCCTGGTACCACATCCAAAGGGATGCTGCCTGTGGCTGCCTACAGGTTCACTCATCCATCCCAGTGTCCTGCATCCGTGCCGTGGAGCGCGTGGATGAGGGTGCCTTCCAACTGCCACACGTCATGCAGGTGGTGACGCAGGATGGCACTGGGGTGCCACACACCACCTACCTCCAGTGCAAGGTAAGGTGTCACCACAATCAGGGGTGGGGACCACGGTTCAGTCTCACCGTGTTCTAATGGCCTCTACCCCTTGCAGAATGTGAATGACCTCAACCAATGGCTGTCGGCCCTGCGTAAAGCCAGCGCGGCCAACCAGGACAAGCTG